TAAATGCTGCAAGAAGCTTCAGTGGTGTTCAATGACAGTGAACGGAACATGGACTTCATTGTTTGTCAATGACGGGTGATATTTCAGCTGTTCGTATCGAGTCTACAGTGTTTCCGTTGCGGAAGCACTCCGAATCGCATGCAGATATTCGTACAAACCAGAGCGTGATCTGGGTCAAGGCAAGTGGTCCAATATGATCTACAATCTTGTATGATGCCTCGCCATTTGAAACTGATAGCAAAGTGGTCTATTTGGGACCAAGGCTGCGTTGGTGGTGGAGGATGGCTGGCTTGCCGAACAACCTCCTCGTGGTGCCAGCTGGGTGGTTTGGGATTTTCCCGTTCCAGCAAATGCTTCGGCGGCAGTGTTCCAGGACGTGGTGGGTTTTCGCCTGGCAAGCGTTCTCCCTATAAAAAGCCACATATGTCCGTTTAACAACACTGTGACGTGGCGGACGTGACTCGCCACTAAATAAAGTCACTGCCCCTTGCTTCATCCTGGCGAAGCATTGTATTCCAGCAAGTTGATGCTGTAATTTCGGGGAGCATTGGGCCCCTGTTTGGCAAAGGAACAAACGAAAGGCGTATGAACTGAGCAATCAGTCACCGGCTCCCAATGGGCGCGATTCCCTGAATTCGCCCCGCTGCCTTGCGGGCAGGCTATTCAGCCAAAGTCTCGGGGTGGTGTCCCCTAAGTCAACACCCTACTTCGGCTTGGGCAACCGGGTAGTATCTCGCCCTCTGACGAAACCATGGATTTTGATGTGTTGTGTTTTCTTTTACTATTTCTGTACCTTGTTTTGAGTTCCATGATTTCCCATGGCTCAATGTCTATTCATAAACTGTTGCAATATATATATATATATATATATGGTGGTGGAGGATACCAGGTTGCAGAGCACCTCCTGGAGTGATTAGAGTTTGTGCTTGCGAGAAATAGATCGTTGTTTTCGCACAAAGTGAGAAGCCTGGTTCCATTATCTGAGCGATTTTTATTCAGTGTGTGATGACAACCTATGTAAAATTCATTCGGTAACAGGCGACGAATTCATGTGTTGAAGTCTTCTCATAACCAATGAACAATCTGTTTGTAATGACAATTCTGAATAAAACTTTCATAAAATGATCGGGCCAGATTCACTAGACGGTGGCTCTCGTTTCGGGGAAATATATCGCACATTACCGAATATAAGCCCATCCATGGATGGGCCAACAGTATAACTTTGTAACATCAAATTTGCTCAAATTTGTAAGTCCCTCCATAAGTCGGCCGCAGAAAATCAGCAAAAAGAGAAACGAAATTGTTTCCCTACGATCTTGACGTCCTCACTACTTACTCTCACTTGAGTGTGCTCAAAGAAACCTGCTATACTACTGGTCAGCTGTATGAATCTTAAGGTTCAAGCGCTTTGGATTCTCTACCCAAAACAGCGCTAACGCGACGAACACATGTTCCATGATCCCGTGCGTCACTAGCGGGCAGTGCTAAGCGGAGATAGGGCAAGAGATGTGCAGTGGATTCCCGGGTGGATTTTGCATGTGACTTTTTTCAAGTTGCGTATAACCTTTCAATCAGCCGATCACCCTCTACAGAAATGAAGAGTTGTCCAAAAACTATCGGTTTATATTCAGTAATATACGGTAAGATCGGCGGACATGAAGAGGCTAGTTACGTTCGACCACCGGTGCCTTCGCAGTTTGGCTCACATCTGGTGGGAACACCGCATGAGTAACAAGCGTGTTCGACGCCTTGTTTACGGCACAGGAAAAGGAACTGTACCGCTCAGCACCGTTATTTCACGCACCAGGCTCCGATGGCTGGGCCACGTGTTACGCATGCCAGCCCTCCGACTCCCTCGACGTGCGTTGTTTGCTCACCGGGGATGTGGGTGGAAGAAGAGGAGGGTTGGCCGAACGATGACTTGGTCCAGAAGAATGAAGTCCCTCACTTCGGAGCTAGCCTCGGTTGGAGCTTCACGGCTCCCTGGTTGGGGTCCAAAAGACGGTGAACACGTTTGGCTGGATATACTTGCTGACATGGCAAGGAGCCGACCTCAGTGACTTTCCTGCTGTGAGTTTCTTTGTCCCTCCCCATCCCTTTTAGCCTCCCCCTCCATCTACGATCTCATTTCGTAGGGTAAAACATAATTTAAAAAATTTTCTTTTTGCCTAGTAGCTGGCTGGTAGCTTACCGGAACGATGCCTATCCGTTGCTGGTAGCTCAGCTGGCATGCAACTGTCGTATTCATTGTTTCCTTTATGTATTGTATGTATGTATTTCCTTTATGTATAGCGGTACCATAGCGGAGGTGTTTCACCACCTCTAGCTGACATGTATAGTGATGATGATGATGATGAATATACGGTACACATTATTAGAACGAGGAATGTAGTGAGTGAAGGCCAATAGCCTGACTACCAAAACCAAGAATGCCTCCAAAAGATGTGGTGTTATGGTTTTCGTCGCTGTGGCCCACAGTACACAAATGTTGTGCATCGATATGCAACTATGATTGAAATCTGACGTAATCAAGATAATAGATGGACTAAAGCGATCCGATGCTAACAGTCAGAGCGCCCGGATCCCGCAAGCAGAGTGAACAAGGTCAGACGAACAGTATGATGAAAAAAACTGAGACTGGTTATGCGGATCCGTTGCACAAACCACAAAAGATGAATAGCACGCAAGCGCTTCACACAGCTGATATGATACAAAATATGCGAACGTCATCATTGAATGGCCATAACAAAAGTATGCCTGATAGGTTTCAACATGGGGTTGGAAAATGTGGCAAACGCGTAGGATTCGTTGCTGTCATGCAGTGCTGATTAATGCGTGACGCGTTGACCAGAATCTCGGTGTCTTCCAACGAATATGACAATTGCATCCACTTTGGATTCAGCCAATTCTGAAGGAAGTTCTGCATTTGTGTATTCCAGTCAACTAGTCTTTATGCAGTCTGTACAAACCAGACGCAGGCTTAAAGCCCTAAGTACTAGAGACGTAGAGCTTGGATACACGAAGCTCTGGGTAACGCGAGAGAGAGAGCATCACTCCGGGAAAACTCGCAATGTACCTGTTTGAACTGGAGTATGGCTGAAGGAACCCGAAGTAACACAGGACGTGCCCTATGGGTGGATACAAAACGCCGGAAGCAGAGGTAACTTTGTAAGACCATTAAGGTACAAGAGTCTGCGTTTGAGTTACTTTAGATTGGTGGAAGATGGGTGCAGAATGTAAAACAATGGAGCTAGTTATTTCACAGAAATTCTCGGGTGGATTGGCACGTGCTTTATATTGTGAAGTTAGATGGTCGGCCCATCTGGATCGCTCCAATGTTCAAGCGGGAGGCTGAGTTGTTCCACTGCCACATCCAACTGCGCAACTGGACACAGCGCAAACAGCGGAATTGCACTGAACATTTCTGTCCACAGTAACAGTGCCAAGGTTTCATACAAACACGCACACGCCTGCGTGCCATAGATTATCTGTGAGCTTTATTTATGGTGCAATTTTAAGAATCTATAGAATGCGGAAAAGCATTAGACGGCTGTTCCGTCCCATTGGGACGCGCCTGCTAACAAGTCATCGAAGGATCCGTCCGTACGACTTTCAAATGTTATTCGTGCGTAGCTGGGAAGCCGTAGCTCTAAGGGCCAACTACGTCTGCTACAAATTCGTAACTTTTATGGGAGTGGATGAGGAGCCGTGCTATATCACAGACCAAGTGTTCGTTGTCAGGCAGCACGATACCAAGCTATGCGGAAGTACATGGCGTAATGGATAGCCATCCAAAGCTGTACATGCTAGTGTTCAAATGGTGGACGTCAACTAATCGGTTACCAATTGAATAGATGAATGTCGTAGGAAGGCTGGGTAGCTGAGCTATTGCAAATGGGCCATCTTCCTCCAAGTAAGCAGCTCAGAGAGCGGATAGAGACTCCGATAACTATGGGATAGTACCGTGGTACGTGTCCTAGTTGTCCTCGTGCCGTCGTGACCCTCTGTGCCCGAATTCACTGTTGGCTTGATGACAATATAAGTAGGAGAAGCGCTTGTCTAGCTACGGTCGTCTAGCAGAGGTCATTGTATTTAAACAAAGACCTTTCGCTTGGACAGTGGCAACAAAATCCCGATCCAGATTCAGTGTATCCTGTGGTTGACCTTGGTCACTTTGATTTGAGCTACTTATGCGAGGAAGAGGAGCAGAAAGGTGGTACACTGTTAAATTGCTAAAAATGATGGAACCGACAAAGGTTGAAGTAGTGCAAGCACCTAGTGGGCCACATGTCACTGGTTCGAGTGTGCGTAAGAACGGGTAATCACCTGACGATTGCGTGGCGGAAAAACGTCGGTAGGGGGGCTATTAGCACGCTGCTGGCATGAATTTTCTCTTATGGCCAAGATGCTCACGTAAAGCAACGAGGTTGTGGTTCAGTGCAACCGTGTGTTCATGAATAGGTGGACGAGAGCCGGCTCATGCGGTCACGACAAGTGCAACCAGGTACCTGCAGACAATCGTTCCCACGTAAGTCCAGGTAGCAATTTCGTAGCACAAACAAACGTGGGTCGTACATATTGGTTGACAGCATCAAACGCGATTGAATTGCAGACAGAAAATGTGGATATGCAAGGGGTAGGAGTAGCTTAACGGGAAACTACAATAACGTTGCTAAATGAGCATGTGGTGAGCCCGACAGCTCGTCCACATTGATAATGACACAGCTCAATCGCAGCCAAATTAGCTCGGACGCAGAGATATAAACGTAATTCGCACGCGGTCCCGAGGTCAAGAGAATAGGCGGTGAGACCTACCGAAATCAGAGTTATCCAGGTCGGTAAATATCACCAAGTAAGAATGACAATTTGTGCGATGTTGGGAATAACCTGTGTTGAACCTGACGTACACAAAATCCGCATTCCAAATGAAAACAAGAAGCAAAGTGTCAGAGAGAGTTGAGAGCCAAGAACACACAATAGGAGTTAATGTGAAAACTAACCAGTGAGTCCAGATACGACCCAGAATTGACCCGGCATCATCCAGAGAGGCCAAGCATCCAGCTGGCGCAGTAGCAGTCGGCGCCATGAACGGAAACCGCCCACCAGAACACCAACTTCACCAGGCCATCCGATCTGAGTGAGCAGGGTAGCCAGCGAGTTAGATCGCTGTCCTCCACGAGCGCAATAAACAAGCACATTGGAGGCAGAGTTACCGATTTTGGAGTCAGCGGGACTTGACAGGGACTTGGAAGTGCAACTAGTCACGGGGAAGTATCGTTCCCCAAGCTCCAAAAGTATACGACTCAAATTAGCGCAGATTACAGAGGCCCCTTCGAATCTGGCCCTGAGGATGTCACCTGAAATAAGCAAGAATCGCCAATCGAGTTCGGTGAAAACGGCTATGCACTGAGGCGGTGCAAATGTGGAATATCCGAGTTAGAAAAAATACCCCGGTTATCTGAAGTTACATAGCAATCACTCTAGAAACAATAGCAAAAATTAATTCGCCGAATAGATATTTTGGTAACACAAAATGACTTGGAACAACTAAGTTGGCGTTAGCCTACCAAAGGCTTGATCCACCGTTGAGGTGCATAAAAGTCACACAATTCAGGAAGCAATTAGTCAATTTGCGACCCAAGTGCAGTGTAGTCCCCGGGAATGCTGTGGACTCCAATACAACCACCTTGTGCTAATGTTGCTGAGAAGGGAGAATGAGTGATAACCGCACGTTTGAATAACTGTTTTCGAGTAATGCATCGGTGGGCTTTGTACAGATTTGGGCGCTAAGATGAGCGAAACGAGTAAAATGCAGAAATAGGTGTGATTAGAGATACGAAGTCTGGTTATGCGTCCGAAGTTCGGGTCACTGGTCAAGGCTCCAAGTGTCTTGTAAGATGGTTGGCAGAGAATCTGCAAGAACAATACGAGAAAACAGCAAGTGCAAAAGTTTCAATCAAGGACTCTTGTACAACGTAATCGTTCTAACAACGTCTGATGCGTTGGATAGTTTAACACTGGATGTCAATCGTTTCGATCTGTGCTTGGCACTCTAAAAATGTGAACCTTTCTTCTGGAGTGGACAGTAACCACTCCATGCGCTAACTTTGGGTTGGAATCAGTTAAAGTCGTTTAGAAATTTAAGTACTTAAGCAGCTATACCACCGCCCGTGGAATGTGAGATGAGTTCACAAATAGTATAGCAAAAGTCCAAAGCGCTTTTGTCAACCTCCGCTACATGGTGACGTCGGCGTGACATCACAATCCTGCTAGAGGGTAATCAACTACGCAGCCGTCCGTACAACTTCACCCTACGATTGAGAAACTTGACCCATCAGATTGACAAATGTAAAGAAGTTAATTGCATTCGATTACCGGTACCTTCGCAGTTTAGTTCATATCTGATTGAAATATCGCGTAAGCAATGACGTGTCCGGCGCTTTGTTTATGACGCAGGAACAGCGAGTGAACTGATCAGCACCTTGTTTCACGTATGAGATTGCAAAGGCGTGGTACGCATGCTAGCCTACGAATTCTCACAACGTGCATTGTTTGCGCGACCGAGGTGTGGATGCAAGAAGTGGAGGGAAGTCCAACCGATAATTTCGTCAAGAAGAATGAAGGCTTTCCTTACGAAGTTCGCCTCAAGTAGAGCCTCTCGACTCCATGGTTTGTGTCAGGAAACGATAAACCGGTTGGAAACTTGTTGGTCTGTCCAGAAGCCGACCTTGGTGGGGTTGGTGTTGTGAGTTCTTCTGACCCGCCCTTACTAGTTTAGTCTCCTTGCTAACCATTATTGACATGTAATAAATATGAAACACATTATCAATATTTTACAAGCATGTTTCAGCTATAATGCGGCACGAGAGGTGACGGGTGCTACTTACCTTTAGCTAACGTTTGGAATGATAAAGGATGATGACGATCATCATAGAACCAGTCCGAAAAATATGCACTCGTTGATACGTAACCCCGTATCGATCGGATGGCCTAAAAGACAGCTTTGTAACATGGTTGACGGATACATATGGGATGCCAACGCATAGATTCCTTCGCCCAAGTGGTTGAACGCGGATACTGACAAGTGAATGGCCAAAGTGCCATTGACTGTAGATGCGCATGTAGATTTATGCTGCAAGAAGGAAAGTACTGAAGACTTCCCAGATAGGCCACAATTATGCCGTAAGGTAAAACATTGTCTCGAATGTTTGCGTTATACGGTGCGCGGAGGTGCAAGGTCGGAAGAGTGTGAGGAAAAATCTTGTAGTCATAAAACCTATTCATCTTGGTTCCCAAAAAGCCGTGCAAAGAAAAAGTTCTACATTCCACCTGCATAAAAGTTGTCCGACATCAGCGAAAATCTTGTGTGTAGAATCTCTGAATGCGCACAACGTCGAGCAGCTCTACTCGTCCCTCTGGTTCAATGCAGTCCACATAGTGTGGCTAACCAACCGTCGCACCGACGTGATTGAAGGTGGATATAAGATCCGCATTAGGTACAAGGGGTGTTCAAAAAGATACCGAAATTTTACTATGACCACTTTATTGCTCATGGCACAAGTTTTAAGTACTTTCCCTGTAAAATAGTCCCCTTTACTGGCAATACAACGTTCCCAACTGTGCTTTCATTTCTGGAAAACCTCCTGGAACGCACTTTCTAAGATAACACGCACGTCACTTGTCGCATTATCCTGAATCTCATCTATGGTTTGGAAACGAGGTCTTTTCTACGTGGTTTTAAGTGTGGGAAACAGGAAGAAGTCTGCTGGGATCAGTTCCGGAGAATACGATGGATGGGGCACAACGGGATTGTGATATTTTGCTAGATAGCTGCGGACAGGGAGCGATGCGTGAGTCGGCGCATTGTTATCATGCAACATCCAAGTCTGATTTCCCTACAGTTCAGAACCTTTCCAGCGAGCACCACGCCTCAAACGCGCTAGAATTCGATGTCATGATCCAAAGCTGATGCCAATTTTGTAAGCATCTTCCTGAACAGTTAAACGACGATTTCCAAGGATGACAGCAAGAACTTTATAGCCATGGTTGTCGTCTGTTGAAGTGGAACGTCATCAAGGCTTGGGATAGTCTCAGACCGACATTCCAATGTGTTCAAAGCACTTAAACCACTATGGCACTGTGTACGACTCATACAGTCATGCCCGCAGGCATGGGATAAGCAACTGAAATGTCCGTGTAAACGTTTTGTCGTTTGTTGATTAATTTTACATACACGCGTTGTACTTCAAGCTCCTTCATTTTCTCTTTGGCACTAATCGGATGAACAGGTTTTGCACGTGCTCACTTCAGCGGTTGTAGCTCCCCAACCAACAGTCAGAGCGAAATGCGGTAAATGTCAGTTCGTTGTTTAAGCAAGCCAACACATGCACTTAGTAGCCGCAACGCGTCACCCTGCTGCTTGACGCGCTATTTCAAAAGTTCGGTTTCTTTTTCAAAACCCCTCGTAAGGCATTAGCAACAAATGGAAATTTCAACCGTAAAAAGGAGAAAGTTCCAAATTTCACAAATTATCGGTATTCACCTAACTTATTGGTTAATCCATTTGGGATCCATCTAGGACAGCATGATAGAGAGATACCAACAATTACTTAGCGCATTTTGCCACGTTACAGATGACTACGGAGAGCTCAAGCAAACCCCAGTGAAAGGTAGCCCAAAAGAACGGATACGATTCCAATCTAGGTGGCACTCCGGAATTGTTGCAATGAAAGAGAGGTTTAGCACCAGCTGTCATACATCACCATTCCAATCTGTGTTCAGTATCGGAAATGTGTTCAGATAACCTGTGAATGAGAGTAAATCACACGAACATAGCTCTCAAGGTGGCCTATCACAGAAGAAAATCGCTTTGGAGTACGCCTTGACTGTTCGCAGAGGCGCCAACCTTCTACATCCCATAAGCCCCTGTAATCCACAAACGTTAGTGATAAACCTCCACACTCCCAATGAAGTGCCTTTTCTGTGTCACAGAAACGCTGAAACACTTGGAAGTACAAAGCAAACAAGCGAATTCACAGAAGCCTGACACTTCGCAACCATTTCTAGTAATCGGCGCGTTATGTACGCAAAACTATGAGCAAAGAATCACCTAGTCAGTCGAATACATCAAATGGGAGAATACAAGGTAAATAGGTTAAGCGACAGTTTCAGCAGTGCAGGTAGACTAAGATAAAGAGGCATGAATCGAAGAGGCCATTTTCAAAACCTACTTGCTCAGAGTAATCTGAACGTGGATTGCCCAAACAAACAGTGACGACTACATGTAAAAACCTCGTCCCAATACACAACAACGAACTGATGATATCACCTCGATTGGTGACGAAACGTTTGCAGCAAAATCGTCAAGCTAAACAGAAGTTCGAGCAACACGTGATCAACCTGGTCCGCCAATATTTGCTTCAACATCAATGCTGAAACTGTTTATCCAAGAGAAACTATCGCCGACGCTTTAAAAAAAAATAACCAAAGGTTTAGACATTCGGACTGATATTCGAGCGTCGGGGGATAAGAGGTCTCGAATACTACTAAACCGGAGATGATTCGCGCGGCAGTGAAGCGCCGTTACGGCGTACAGCTGACACATCGTCATTATCATCATTCAAAAACTAATCCAGTTCCTCCACGTCGATTGCTAGTGACATATGACGCCTTGATGAAGGTGGGTATTGTTGCCTCGTGGGTTGTAATTCACATGATCGCCAAACACCTTGAAGTGGCACAGTTCTCCGAAGAGGAAATGCAATGCAGCTGCATACGACAGTGGTCAGAATAAAGGCAGATGCTCCAGATCGACCAGTGTGTGGATAATGGCGATGTGGTCCTTTCGAGTCATTACGGCGAGTGACGGGAGAAGCTAAGCTGTTGATGTAGAAGACATTGTGACCGAAGCATAACAGCAGAAAACTACCGCTATCATCACTGGGGTAAGTAAAGAAAATAAAACCGCATCCAAAGCAGCGCCTTGACTCCAACGTTGCCAACTTAAGCAAGCTGGTCATCAGCAACGGATATAAAATCCGCAACGTTGTCAATCGGAAAAAGCTATGCTTGATGTTCGTTTTTATGATCGTGTTGTTGTCTGCTGGAGGACAATTCAAAGCGTCAAAAAGTGGGGCCCAAGGCAATCGCTTAGTAAATATGTGTGAGTTCCAAAGCTACATCTCACTCGTACAGCGGTCCGTTCAGAACAATTTAAGTGAAACACTCCGCACTTCTAGTGAGAGCAAATATAAAACCGTAAATGACACAAGCAACAGAGGTGGAAACATGAGATAAGTCCGGCATTGAACCGCAAATCTGGTAAGCGCCCGTGTAATGTTTCCTTATGTCGTTCAAA